TGTCTGTCCAACAGCGTGGGAGAAGCAGTGATGTTTAAGGTGGAACTGCTTTATTCAGTGTGTTTAGTGGTTTTAATCAGCGGGTCTGTTTGTTTTGGAGAGGAGGAGATCGCTGTGGATTAAAAACTACAAATTCAACTGTAATTCGCTTAATTCTGAACTGATCTTAATGAAATTTGGTTTGTTATAAACGTCACATATTTAACGAGATGCTGCTTACTTGTAGTTGAATTAATTCAGTTAACTGGGGGTGGATCTAATCATCAAAAACTTCCACTTGGACACTTAAGCTTTTGTTAGTTTCTCTAAAAAATGTAGATTTCTTTACATATTATATTGTTATAAAGCCGCCTGGCTGATTATTTCCTGTCAGACAGAAATTTGAACCATGTGTTGACTCTAGTATAAATGTACACTGGCTGTCTGTAATATTTGTACATCCAAAACGCTGCAGACGCCGGAGTTAATTAGCCAAATTAATTTCTACAAGAAACCAACATCAGGTTCAACTTCTCGCCCTCATAACAGACCAAATTTCATGGAAACTGGTTCAGAGCTGAGCGAGTTACAGCTAATTTTGTCTCTCAGTCTCTTACTACTGTTAACTAGCAAGATCTTGACCTCCACAATCCGGTGGCTGCGTCAAATCGAGAACACGGTATCTCGTTTCTGTATCTACGGTTCAAATGCCACCAACGAGGGGCCAAGACCTCCGGAAACAAGATTTGTGCCTCCATTGCTGGATTGCTTTTACAGTTTTCTGTATCTACAGAATATTGATGGAAGTTATCAATTATTCAATCAGCTTCAAGTCTTGTTGTTGGAGTTTCTGTGTTCAGGGCTGCAGGTTGTTCACATTCGGATCTTTAAGTGGAAATTCTGGCTCCGAACAGGAAGTGAACTTTCTCTGTTTAGAGAGAAACGTGTTTCAGATGCTGATTACAGTGAAAAACAGTGCGGCTGATGGAGGGAGGAGACGTTTCCTGCTTCTAATTAAACAGTTTGAGGGTTGTTTTTAGGGAAAGTCCGGTCTGAACGTCACCTCCTTCCTCTTCACTCGTTCTCTCCGACACGATTCTGTCGTTATCCTGAGCCGTGGTCGTTTAGTTGGAGCGAGCAGGGATGTGGACGTTTCTGTAAAACTCGTCATTAGTGAGTAAAATGTTTCACTTGCAGCTTTTATTTATTATTTTACACGCTTGTTTCTTGATTTTGGCTAAAACCTGTTTTTCAACTGGACCGCTCGATGTTTTAGTCGTAACAATACTCGATGCAGACTGTGATTAACGGCTAATAGGAAGAAAAAATCCACATTATCTCATAAAATCTTTGTTTTCAGGAGGGTTAAAAATACATCTTTTTTAAATTTCTTTAATTTTTTCCCCAATTAATCGCATTTTTGGTGGCAGCAACATCTTCAATAAACTCAGGAAACATGGTACAAAATTTGTCAGTAGTGAAAAAATACGTATTCTGAGTCTCGAAGAAGGCCATCGCTTTCAGTTCAAATACAGATGTTCGATAGGTAATAGAAACAACAATTAATCACTTCGGAAAAGGAGTGTGGAGGTGGAGCAGGACGGGGGCCTGGTTGTGGAGGGCATTGTGAGTGAGGAGAAGGACTTTAAACTGGATCCAGTGGAGGTTCTGGAGAACGGGGGTGATGGGTATAGGTGAGCAGGCGAGCAGCTCTGGAAGTTCTGGATGTAGTTTATTGAGGTGTTTGGAGGATTTACCTGGAGTGAGAGTAGAGTGACGGGCGGATGTTTCTCTGGGAGGAAGACAGACTTTGATTGATGCAGTGATGACCTTCGACCTCGTCACCTGCACAGGTGTCACAGTGATCTGTCGGGCTACTGCTGGACTCAATCACTGTCTGACAGATCTTACAAATGGACAGACTTTTGTCCAACTTTCCTTCTCATAGAATCCAAATGTCTTCCAGACTTTAGACTTGGTGCGCTGTAGACGCTGTTAGCAGCAAAGCTTCAGTCAACTGATTCATAACTTTTTCTGATGTAACGTTAAAATATCCGATTTGTATCAGTAAATCTTTAAACTCCTACCCCAACTAACATCACTGGAGTTCTCCTTTAAAACATGTGACTTGCTCTAATTGAATTTAGATTTCAGATCTCCTCAGTTTTATTTAGAAACTGACTTCAGGAAAGAGTTTTAATTCCTCCAGTCCAGAGGAACGACGTCCTGAAATGGAGGCAGAATGAAGTCACGTATTTCTGTCTTTGTGAGGATTTAATTAACATTTTTGATCTTAAGAATGAGGATTTATTTTTGGGAAGCCTTCCTCAAAACGGGCTGTGTGTGTGTGTGTGTGTGTGTGTGTATGTGTGTGCTGAAACAGTGTTGAGGCTTCGTGAGGAGTTTCATTATCAGCGTGTGAATCGGGTGCTGCTGTTTGTTCATGGTGGAGTCCTGCAGGTGGAATTTAACTCAGTCACATCAGAACAGTTTGGTGGTTCTGATGTTTGATTTTATACGTCACTGTCGTTGGGAAGTCTCCAGTTCAGGAGGATTCATTGTCCAAACATAACGTGACAGCGGCAGTGGATGGATTTTATGACACTGTTTTCTTTCTAAGCTTCTTCCCAGCTCTAAATTCATGATTCACTCTTCATAAATATATTTATTTGTCTTACACACTGATCCAAGGAAGTACTGGAATAGAACAAGTCTTCACGATCTGCTTGCTTTAAGTGTTTCTGTGTAACGTTACTTTTTATTAAGATGAAATCTGGAAGAAGCTGTGCAGTTATCAGCTGCCCCAACAGTAGTGTCAAACTTCAAATCTGGAATAAAATCTGAGTGTGGGACACACACAGGCCTTTACATGAGATGGTGGTAAACTTCAGCCTCTTGTGGTTGAAATGAGAACTACAACAACAAACACTTTCATAGATGAAACAAAAGAAAACAAAACAAAAAATGTTCACCTTTTTTTTTCAGATTGAAGTTGAAAAAATTCTCTTAAAAAAGGAGATCTTTCACTTGTTTTTACAGATAAAAAATTACTCTTAAGACTTTTAAGGAGAACTAAAAATGATCTTGAGAAACAAAATCATGTTTTCACATTAAAAAAAGAAAACAGAGCAATTCTCCTTATTTATTTTTTTTACCACAGATGAAAAAAATGTATATAAAGTTAGAAAAATTATCTTAAAGAATCTCAATCACAAATGAAAAAAAAGAAAACATAACAATTCTCTGATATTTTTTTCATGTTTTCACACATAAAACATTTTAAAAGTGGGGAAAAAATCTTATATATTAAATATAAAAATATTAAATGGAAATACTGTTTTCATAGTTTAAAACGAAGAAAAATGTTTTTTTAAAATATGATATTTTATTAAATTTAAACTCAAACTCTTCTCACTTCTCTTGCTTCCAGAGCTCCTCATCATCCTCCTCATCCTCATCCTCCTCATCATCCTCATCATCATCATGCCTTCCATCAGTCCACAACCAAATTCTTCTCATCCAGCACATCTGGCATCAAATTCATCTCATTCAACATCCCATGCATCACCTTCAGAGGCTCCCCCCATCGCGTCCTCCCCGGCACTGACCTCCCTCCCCTTCACCATCATCTCCACCACCGCCGTCTACACTAACACCACCCTCAACCCGGCCGCCGCCTTCTTCAACAACCTGCTGAACAAGATCCCCCGTAAGTCACCAAA